TATAAACCCATTCACAACACTGCACACTATAAACCCATTCACAACACCTTTCAACCTCATTTACTTTATAGCATTTATGTCTCTTTGTTCTGTTTTGTAATCACTGAGTTTAACCAGTTACCTGTATGGCAGTGAATTTGGAACTCTCTAGTAAATCCTCCTGGGCTCATCAGTAGGTATATCACTAGTGAGAGTATCATAATCAGACAGATAACATTGGGATTAAATTTTAGGGCATTATTATTTTATGAATTATTTAGAGGTAATTGAGTGTTCAGAAGCACAAACTTTGTATATTTGTCTTAATACTTTCAAGCTGATAGACAACTGGTATGCTCTCTTGCAGCTAATGGAAGTTAAGGTACCTCTCAATTTAACTAAAACATAGCCAGGAAGTCTGAAGTCAAACAAATGACATTTATTTTGTATTTATTTATTTTTTATTAAATTCTTTTTTAATTGAATATTTTATTCACATTTCAGATGTTATCCCATTACCCCATTTCCCCACCCTCCCACCCAGGAACCCCCTATCCTATCCCCACTCCTCCTGCTTCCATGAGAATGTGCCCCCTCCTACCCCCCCCACTCCCACCTCCCCACTCTCGAATTTCTCCACAAAAGTCAGTATGTATAAGGGCACAGGACAGAGGCAAGTATCTTTAAAATGTCTGCTTTAAACACTTCTCTTCCCAGTATTAGATCTTTATATCTGCTGTATTCCAGTCCTGTTCTGGACTAAGTAGTAGCCAAATGTATTTTATTCACGGCTTTCTAGAAAAACAGAATATATATGGAGAGGTGGGAGCTCTAATAAAAGAATAGGCTTGCCATTGAGAGTGGGTGCTAGCAGGCAATGAGCAAGCACTTCCTTTTTCCATGTCCTCGTTATAGGCTCCCACTGAAATACGTGGTCCAGATTTAAGGTGCATTTTCCCACCACAAATGATCCATTCAAGAAAAACTCCTCACAGGTATAACCAAAAGGTTGAGTTAACAGTTAAATACAAGATATAGTCATGTTGACCATCAAGAATAGCCATCACACCAAGGAACATAAGTCTGGTCAGTTATTTGTTTATCAATCCTCAGAAGTTCAAAATTGTACTCTTTTTGATGAGAATAGACACATGTTTCTGTATTGATCTCACTATGAGTTTATTGCTGTCTACAATGACCTTTAACTCAAACATTACTACAAAACATCAATAAATTTCATCCTATTCAACAGAACCTGATAATATGCAAGTAATGGCAAAGTGATTTTGTGTATCTGCTCTCCTTAGTGTCAGTCACATACATGTGTTGGTTAGGACTCTTTTTAAAGTTCAGAGGGTAGAGCATTTCACCTATCAAAGGTTCCTATGTTCCTATGTAATAGCCAAGCCTCTGAATGTAGGATTGAATGAAACACAAGTCTCTAGTTTGGGACCCAACAGAATCTAATTGTAGTTTAATCTTCATTTTAGAATGTCTAAGGGAGCATTGTAAGGACTTTCCCCTGACTCTTGCTTTCTCATCTGACTATTTGATAGATCTCAGTTGAATGTGACTTTGAATTCTTTCTCCTGGACAGGAATCTGACATATGGCTTTTGTCAGGTAATTCCCTTTAGCTTTGATAGAGAGTAAACCTGAGGTTGACACGCTCTTGTGAAAAATGAGAAAAGTAACAGAGCCTGAAAAGAGAGCCATCCTGGTCCTTTCCCGAGTGAAGCCAGAAGGATGTGGCACAGGGACAGCGGTTTTTGTTTGTTTATTTATTTTGTTTTTAATAAATTGACAATCCCAGTTTCCTGGAAAAAAAATGGAAAAGCACTTTAACTTTGTAGTAAACATCTAGCCGAAGCTTATACACAGATACAAGTAGGTTTAGATCATCTTCCTTGTAGCATATGCATTGGAACAAACACTGGAAAACTTGCATACTTTTTCTTACCCCTTGGAAAAGTAAGTATTAAAATGAATAATTTAATTAATTATTAAATTAATAATTTAATTAATGGTTATACATCAAAATATAATGGTGATTTATAAAGGTATTATGATGTCCAGTAGGCATCTAAAGAGACTCACAGTGATTCTTCAGTCCCTTGTGTTTAACAACCCCCCACCCCTCTATACACACACACACAAACTTAGCTGCCTTCTAAAGAACTGACTATACAGAAGTACAGAACCTGACTCCTAACACTGTATCACAACAGATTCTAGTGTGGTATGCATGTTAAGATCCAGTTATGGTTCTGCTTCCTCCCTCTCAGGGAGTTCAGATGCCACTGCACACCAGGCTGAAAGGATGAAGCACACAGTTCAGGGGGATGCGGTGGGAGAAGGTCTTCTCTGGTCTTCGATGAAACAGCTCTCGTAGACTGTCTTGGCTTGTATGCATAACTTTATTCATAATTAACTTGTACACACACCCTTTACTGGGGTAAGCTAGGGCTATATGTATGAATTTTGGTGAATAGGAAGGAGTTTTGAAGGTGAGTGAAATCATTAGCTAGAATTTGAAGTACTATGAATGGTACATTTGTTTGGAGAGGCATTCCAGGAACCTCAGGTACTTGCTGGGAAGTGTAAGTTTAGTTTGTAGGTTTGCCAACAGCTGTGTGACCTTCCCTAGTTAGAGGATGTGACTCTCCAGACAAGGTCAGAGAAGGGGGAGCACTGCTGCTAAGGGAGTCCTCCCTTTTGTGGATCTCAGAGGCACCATGTGGCCATGGTAGACTACAACCTTAATTTGCAGTTTCCCCATACCCAGCTTCTGCTTCTTGTTCCTTCTTTTGTTGTATTGTTCTTCTTGCTGAAAGAGGTCAGCTGGTGCTGAATCTGTCCATCAGTGAAGACAGTTAACAGTAAGCTACAGCATGCAAAAATTCTTCAGAAACTCAATCCTGGGGAGCAATCATTGGAGATTGTTCACAGGTGGATGTGTATGCATTATAGCATTGGGATCCATGTCTTATCCACCTTGTGAAAAGCATAGAGTCTGAGAAGGACCAGGCTATACCTTCCCTGGTATCCAAAACCTTGGAGACAGTGTTAAAATAAACCCTTGCCTTTCTTTGTTCTGTGGGTGTGGTCCCTTCCTGACCACACTTCTCTATTCTCCTCTGTTGATTATTCTCATGCTTTCGTACTGGAAAAGCTTCATACATTTCATCTATTTTAATTTTCTGTGTCATCTTGTG